GCAATCTTTTAAAAATGTACATAAATTGTACACTGGAGTATTACTCGGCAATCAAAAAAGAAGGAAGTCGTGCCATTTGCAACCACGTGGCTGGAACTAGAGGGTATTGCGCGAAGCAAAATTAGTCAGAGGCAGACAAATATCGCACGACTTCACTCATAGGAGGAATTTAAGAGACAAAACAGATGAACATAAGGGAAGGGAAGCAAAAATTATATAAAAACAGGGAGGGGGACGAAACAGAAGAGACTCTCAAATATGGAGAACAGACTGAGGGTTGCTGGAGGGGTTGTGGGAGGGGGGATGGGCTAAATGGGTAAGGGGCACTAAGGAATCTACTCCTGAAATCATTGTTGCACGGATGCTAACTAATTTGGATGTAAATTAAAAATATAAAATTAAGATAAATTTACACAAATTGGGGCGCCTGGGTGGCTCAGCTGGTTAAGCATCCAACTTCGGCTCAGGTCATGATCTCGCAGTTAGTGGGTTTGGGCCCTGTGTCCGTCTCTGTGCTGACAGCTCGGAGCCTGGAGCCTACTTTGGATTCTGTGTCTCCCTCTCTCTCTGCCCCTCCTCTGCTCACACTCTGTCTGCCTCTCTCTCAAAAATAAATAAACATTAAAAAAAATTTTTTTAAAGGGCGCCTGGGTGACTCAGTCGGTTGAACGACTTCGGCTCAGGTCATGATCTCACGGTTCGTGGGTTCGAGCCCCACGTCAGGCTCTATGCTGAATGCTTGTTCAGAGCCTGGAGGCTGCTTCGGATTCTGTGTCTCCTTCTCTCTCTGCCCCTCCCCCACTCACACTCTGTTTCACTGTCTCTCAAAAATAAAATAAAAAAAAAATTTTTTTTTTCAACGTTTATTTATTTTTGGGACAGAGAGAGACAGAGCATGAACGGGGGAGGGGCAGAGAGAGAGGGAGACACAGAATCGGAAACAGGCTCCAGGCTCTGAGCCATCAGCCCAGAGCCTGACGCGGGGCTCGAACTCACGGACCGCGAGATCGTGACCTGGCTGAAGTCGGACGCTTAACCGACTGCGCCACCCAGGCGCCCCTCAAAAATAAATAACTGTAAAAAAATTTTTTTTAAATAATAAAAATGTCCATAAATTGGGGTACCTGGGTAGCTCAGTCGGTTGAGCGACCGACTTCAGCTCAGGTCATGATCTCAAGGTTTGTGAGTTTGAGCCCTGCATAGGGCTGGGCTCTGTGCTGACAACTCAGAGCCTAGAGCCTGCTTCAGATTCTGTGTCTCCCTCTCCCTCTGCCCCTTCCCAGCTGGCACTCTCTCTCTAAAATAAATAAATCTTTAAAAAAAGGCTTAAAAAAATAAAAATGTACCTATATCATATCACTCACTCCTTTGTACAAAACCCTCCAGTCATTTCCCATCTTGTGGAGATAAAACCAAAGTTCTTACACAGCCTCATTGTTCGGTGACCTCCCAGACCTAAACTCCTCCCACCCTCCCCTTTACTCACTTTGCTGCAGCCACACCACACGCTAAGTATGCTAATGCCTCAGGGCCTTTGCACGGGATATCCCGGCTCCTGGAAAAATTTCCCCTCCAGATCATTGCATAGCTTTGCTTCCTTGCTTCTCTGTATAAAAGGAAGCCTTCCCTAACCACGCTATACAACGCAGTAACCCCTCCTACCTCACTCTCCCTAGCCTCCCTACTCTATTTTATTTTTGTCCAGAGGACCCATCACCATCTGACATACTACATACTTATTTCTTGATCTGTTAATTCCCTGTTTCCCCACCCTAGCTTGTAAGCAGGAAAAGGTCTGTTCCATTTCAGTATACTATTGTATACTCTATGCCCAACACAATGCTTGGCACAGAGTGGGGACGAATTTGTTCAGTGAATGAATATTGTCTCCAGTTCACAGATGAGATCCTGGGCTCAGAGGCTTTAAATCACAGTTCTCCCTGCCCCTCCCACATCTGTGGACTATCTCCCTTCCCTCTCCCTGCAAAGGAAGAGAAGGATATTTAGGAGTGGGGCACCTGGGTGGCTCAGTCGGTTAAGCTTGGGATTTCAGCTCAGGTCATGATCTTGTGATTTGTGAGTTCAAGCCTCGCGTGGGGCTGTCAGCACAGAGTCCGTTTTGGATCCTCTGTTCCCCTCTCTCCCTGCCCTTCCTCCACTCATTCTCTCTGTCTCGAAATAAATAAACTAAAAAAAAAAAAACAACACCCATATTTAGGAGTGATGGTATGGTAATCTGGGGACAGGCGTGGAGTTTAGTTTTTGGTAAGAAGAAACCCAAGGTGGAGTGCCTGGCTGGCTCAGTCTGTGGAGCGGGCGACTCTTGATCTCGGGGTCATGAGTTCGAGCCCCACGTTTGGTAGAGTTGACTTCAAAAAATAAGAAAAAGAGAAACATGAAATTTAGAAGAAGAAGCGTGCCAAGACCACAGGAGACGCTGAGAGTTTGTGCGGAAAATGTCTGAATGGGCAGAGGCCTCCTGAGTCCCCCTTGGCGGCATCCCGGGTCTAAGAACC